GGCCGTGCTGCTTCAGGAGTGACGTTGGGGTGGTTGGGAAGGACACGGGGATCCCGCGCTGCTGGGACATCCCTGTGCCCCAGGGGGGTGGTGGGACCGGCACGGCCGAACCCCCCGGGCGGGGAGCGGGGCCTTCCCAGGCCCCCGCTGGGTCTCATGACGCAGCAAGAAAAGGCGGGTGAGTCCCCAGGGTCACCGCATTTGCCTCAGTTGTCCTGGGCCTACGTTAGCAGTAATATTCAGATAAACTGTGACACTTACAGGACTACAATAAACATTTCTAAAGTGGTATTTCACATGGCCGTGATTTTTATACAGATTATCTTTTTTTAACCCAAACTGTAGCACTTAAGTGTTTCTAGTTGCTGTTTACAGACAGCAAAGCAACCATCTCTTTTCACAGAAGGAATACACAAACTATTAACTGTAATAGTGGCCATATTTAACACCTCTTACGTGCTCTCCATACTCTGAAGCGTGAGCACAGTTTCTGACATCACGAGCACTCCTGGTGTGCAGGGGATCTCTGCTTGTTCCACTGCTGCTGCTTTAACTGGGTGGGGGAACCTCCCACAGCAGGGGCTGAGCAGCGGGACACGCGGGGAGACAGTCTGACCCCTCGGCCCCGACTGCAGGACGTGGTGGGGTCAGCACTTGCTCTAAAGCTGAGATTTCAGAAAAACTACATTATTAAGTGAAGCCGAAACTTTTTTTTTTTTTTTCCAATTCATTAACTTCATTCTTCAGCGTTAACACGCTGACGGCCGAGGTGCTGCTTTTGTCTTCCGAAATCCAGATTTTTAAAAAAATTCCAGCATGCTTAATCTGCCTCTCAACACCAGATGGCAGCATCCCATGTAGTTTGTAATGGAACGTTGAGAAGAGCTATAGATACTTCACAACGCGTAAATCAGAGGTGGAGGAGCTCACACTTTGAGCAGTGAAAGTAACAAAAGCTTCAAACTCACTTATGTTGCAGATCTGCTCTAGGTGAAGGCATCCTGCAAGCAGGGCTTGCAGAGTCAAGTGGTATCACACAAGTGTCTGAAAGGGCAATGTAATAAAACTGAAATGCAGAAAATATTCATTTTCTCACTGACACCAGTAATGTACTTCATGCACAGGTACATAGACTGAGGCACCATGATGAACATAATGATGTGCTGGATAGGCTGGACTGGCAACATTGTAATTTTTTTTTCCCCATATGCAGATTATGAACATCATAATTCGTCTGAAATATGAATTCATTTTCCTTGAAATTAAGCAAATGTCATTCCATGGCAAAACGAACAAGGTTATGTATTGGCTGGACTAATGAACCATATTCTTCAGAAACATCTGGCATATAACGAACAACAAAACTGAGGTTCAAAACCAAGATCTGTTTCTAGTCTGCACAGATTTTCTGACTCAGATGGAACACTTCCCTTTTCACCCAACAGTCTTTAATTTTGTTTCTCCTTTTTAAAATGTTGAACGAAGAGTTAAGTAAGAAACAGAGCCAATTAAATTATAATTTAATAAAATATTGGGGATTTACCTACTTCATAGACAACCCAACTTGCAGAAAATAGAACAACTGTCTGTCTGTCTGTGTCCAGAGCTCAGGCAACCCTGCCTGTTTGCTAATTGTACTTGTATTTTCAACAGTTTAGCTGAAACAGCACTTCAGAGATAAAATAATTACACAGCAATGCACACTTTAGTGACTAAATACAACCTTTATTATAGAAACACCAGTAATAGAAAAATAAAGAGCACATCTTCTCATAGCAAATGAATTGTTAGCAACCACATGTTATGGCAAGCTCGAAGGGACCACCGAATCATCTTCATACACTCAAGATGCTAATCTGCATCTCCCTTCCTCTTTCAAGCAGAATTAATAGCTGTTTTTTAATTTGGTGGACTTTGTCCATTATAGATCAAAAAGGATAGAATGATTGTACATCTTGCTTTATAAACTTCTTGGCAATTTGGCTAAATATTACATCATCATGCTCACAGGATGCCCTTGTGTCCACTTGGGGTGTGTAAGAGACCACAGTGAGTGATCTGGGGTGAGAGCTGCTGCAGGGCACCAGGCAGCTGGAGGGATGGGATCAGTTGCTAAATTCTGAGTGGCCCCACTGTACCCTGACCATCACAGGCTTGAAGCAAGTTAAGCAGAGCTTCCCTGATAGGATGCATCATGTCATCGTGATCAATATGTTCTGGGGCAGAAATGGGTTGATATGAGTTTACAACTGGGGAAAAAAAATGAGCTGGGACTGCTGAGACCAACACTGCTGGTCACTCTGGGACCCAGCTGCTACCTCGCACCCTCTCCCAGCCAACAGTGCTCTGCTCTCTGGGTAGGTGGGCTCCTGCTGACCACACGAAGGATTTTGGTGTGCAAATTCTTACGGCAGGTTGGTTGGCAAACCCCTGTCTCAAGCAGTGAGCAGGTTACAGACTAAGGATCAGACTATGGCAAAGAGCAGCTCTGGAAAGAAGCAATCTGCTGGGATTAGAAAATGCTGTTTTCATTTACATCCATATCAGCAGGAAGCAAAGAAACTGTGAACTGCTGCCCGTGGTATCACTGTTTTGGCCCCACCTAGTGTACAACTAGTTTATCATAAAAGCCTCTTTGTACAGTGCTCTTTTAGAGACTTTTTGCTCAAAACATTCCCTCAGGAAAGTTGTTTAAAGGAGAAAGTCTGGCAACCAAGAGGAATTACACCTATAGAATCTTCCCACTGTGAGGATGATCTCAAAACAACTTCATTAGATAAAAAAGTGCTAGCCAAGTATCTACCTAAATTCTGGCACAAAATAAATACAGGCAGGTTTTAAAGCTGCACATGGCAATGCAGGGAGCAGCTGAGCTGTCTCATTCTAATTCAGCATTAAACTAGGAGAGGCAACCCTCCCTGTGTGCTGGTGCTGACACACAGCCCTGCTACAGGCTGCTTGTCTGCTCTGTGGTCAGGGAAGGAGGTGGTAGGTATGGAAGCTGGGCTGCTGGTGGGAGAAAGGTTGCACCTCTAGGGCCTGGGATCTCCTGATGCAGGAAGGAATTTTCCAATGGATCCTCTACTACTGTAAATCACTAACTCCATTGGATTGATTCTGCTGCGTGTTGGCAGCATTTCATGGGAGCATCCAATTGTTTAATCGATTTATACCATGTGCACTTAACCTATGCTGTGTAGAGCAAGCCCAGAACACTATTCATCTAAAAAGGGGAGCATGCAGCTTTATACAAACAGCAAACAAATAATAGCAATAAAAAGCGCAAGAACAAATCAGGTCAACCTAAATCTAAACGTTCTTCAATATCAACAGTTTGATTCACTGTAGAAATAAAAACATGTGGGGAAAAAAATTAACCTTGCATCATCTGTGAAAATGCCAGAGGGTGGCAAAGGATTAAACACAGAATTAATCAATCGTTAAGAACAGTTTTATCTCCTCATGTTGATATCAAACATTAGAAGACTGAATATTAATATAAACAGATTTTTCAGTACAGAACATGAAAATGCTCTATCCATACCATTAGAAGCAACAAACTGTACAGATCATGCAACCCAACATTCCAAATTTGAACATGTGAAATTCTGAAGGTTTGAATGGGATCACCCAATCAGAACAGCTTAGGGCCAGACCATATGCAGGGCTGCAGCTCAAGAATTGCCAGCAAGAAGCTCAAACATCTTTGCAGCAGGCCTGAGACAAGCAATGACAAGTGATAATTTTGGCACATACTGGTCAGGCAGACCTTGTGTGACCTCAGCTGGATAATCTTCTCTTATCTGCATACACAGTGACTGGAAACCACAAAATTTTCTAAAAATACTGCCTCCAGAGTGAGAGTCATATATTACTAGTGTTCTTCCAAAGGGCTTGGCAGAAAAAGAAACAAGAGCAAATGAAATGTAACCCTGGTATTTACAGGACTGGTAAGAACTTGCTGATGAATGGAAGTCACACTAACTCTTGCCCTGAGACCTCAGCATACACAGTGTGTCCATAAGACTTTCTCTGAGCTCTGATTTAATGGGGTTGCCTGTAGCTGTGGACCTCTGGTAACATTGGACCCATCTATTTTAATAAATCTAAACCTCACCTTTAAGAAACCTGATGGATTTTCTGAGGGATAGGGATATTGCCCTCTTTAAGCTATTTTTAGGCATCTGACTTAGGTGGTGTGAATTGCCTCCTTTGTAGATAATACAAAGAATTTAGGCTCCTCACTTTGGTCCTCTAAATTAGATGCTAAGAATCGCCTGATGTAGGTGGTGCGAGTTCTCTCCTTCCCACCCCAAAGAAATCACTTCCAGAAATATTCATTAGCTTTAAACCCATGGTGTTATTTCACTTAAAAATAAGACTTCAGGACTTCTCTATTTGCTACACTTTTGGAAGCACAAAGGCACCTCAGATACGTTCATATCCTCTATGTGGCTTTCTTCTGGAAATCAGGAATGTGGCAAATCCAATCACAAACAATCCCAGGATACTCAGGCCCACTGCAATGGGAGCTGCTTTGCTGTTTTTATCAAGAAAACATTCTTCTTCTGAAAGTAAAAGGATACCAGAAAATGTGTTACAGCAGAACACCATATTCCTAGACTATACATCTATATTCCAGAAAAGTTAGCAAATACAAGCCAGAAATTCTCAAAATTGTGTTTTCTTTTTCTTTCTTTTTCCTGAGCCATTCTGTGGTGAATCTTATCACAGGAAAACAACACCTCCCCCTTTTGAAATAGCTACATGCTTCACTGGTGAATGACTGTGCTCTCACACCTGTAGTAATTGTTTTACCATAAAAATCAGCATCTACACAGTAGGAGGCAACTATCCCCTAAATAGGAAAGTTTGATCAGCTAAGCCCCACCACACATCCCAGCTCAGCAGTGAATCCAGTTTACACCCAGGGTATGAGGAAGATCCAGCACCCTCCATCCTTTTCAATCTCTGTGACTATTCCAAGGCAGGTTTTGCCAGCACTTGAAAACAAAAGTCTCAGTTGTTACTGTCTGATTCTGATGACTATGCTGGCACAGACTGTAGCTTAGCTTGGGCTTTTCTCCAGTGAGAATCTTTATGCCAATGGTGGGCAGTTAGCCCAGGGAGCGTGTGGAGTGCATGACATCACAGCACAGCCCTAGAGCCTCCAACTAGCTCTTGCCAAATCCAATTCACTTCTCCTCTGATCCAGGTGATGATTTCACATGATGCAATGTCATAAAGCCGAAAGCATCAGCATTCTCCTAGATGCTGCTTTTTAAAAGCTTTGGTTAATGTAACCTCCTGTTAAGGGAGGCAGCTGAAATGGATTTGCATTAGAGTATCACAAAAGCCAGAGAAGCTGAATGGCCATTTTGCTTTGATGAAACCATGGGCTGTGAACTCTAGCAATTGTTCCTGATATACTGAATCACAGCTCAGAAGACACTTTTACAGCTTTCCAAACGCAAACAGGCCAAGCTATTGATGTAACATTGCCGCAGTCTGTACAACATTGTAAGGAACTTGAAACCAACGACCATTACTGGTTTATTTTTCTTCCCCTTTTGAAGATAAGCAAATCAGGAGCAATAGAAATGAAACTACCAGTAAAGACACTCAAAAGGGGGAGTCTAGTGATGTGTAGATGGTTATTCTTTCTTAGGGGGTTTTGGCTTTCAAAATCTACAAACACAGCAGAGGTTAGTAACAGTTTCATAACTATTTCATGGCCACTGGGGAATTCTTTTAGAGGTGGTAGCTGCTTTCTCAGCCCTTTGATTAAGAGCAAAAATGGTTTAATTTTGTATATGGTATTGCTTAGCAGAGATTAGCCTGACCTTGGCAGGAGAGAGAGGGAATGAGTCATTCTAAGCTCTGTGTTTGCTAGAAGTGAGGCCATACCAAAAGCTCTAACTGAACTCACTCAATGAACAAATTAGAATGGGAATGTGGGGACTAGATGGTATCTCATAAGCTGTTCCAGCTCAGTGTTACCCATGAAAAATTATTCCTGAAAATGGGAGCATAGATTGGATTCTCAGTTTGGCTTCTACAAACTTAAAGAAAAGTAGGGAGAAAAAAAAATAATTAAAAAATCCATGTATTTTAAAAGCCTCAAATGTTGTTTCCCACTATATTCATTTTTGAAGAAGCAAGGCAGCCAAAATAGTGAACCAAAAAAAGAAGAATCAGTCAAACAGAGCTAGAGTGAGTCAGAAGACAGAGCTAAAGTCAAAAGAAGAACAGAGTCAATACTTTTTAAGCATGCAGAAAGTCAAATGCCAGAAGAAGGAAATGTTGTATTAGTGCACGTGAAGGGCTGGAGAGCTTATAAACCTATCTGTCCACCTGAGTTCTTGTATAGGAGCATCCTGAGAGGAAGTCACAGAAATGTGAAGATGTACAATTTGAAAGAGTGCACAGTGTCCCATCTAGTCCACCTCTCTGCTTTTTGTAGGATCTTTCATCCATCTCATAAGTAAGGTGGTGCCCATACTGTGGAACACAGGAGTTTCCTGGTGCACCTAGCAGTCCTGGACCCCACACCCCAGCCAGGTCCTAGCTGCATTGCTGGACAAGCAACAAGGATGATAAATTCTCATTTCCCTGCAGTAGGACCCCCATGTGTGGATGTAGTGAAAAAGCTGTAATGCCTCAATACATTCTCTCCCAGTGTGGACAATAAAGAGACCAGGGCAGTCAGTGCTAGTCTGTCTTTTGAAAAGCTACAGGGTTGCTTCTTTTCAGCTGTACTCGATAAAAGACAAATTGCAGAGATGAGCATCACATTTCATTCTGAAACTGGGTGCATGCTAATCATCCTTCTCCTCAGGAGAGCATTTCATCATGTCTAGACACAGCTGCTCTGAAAGCACCATCCTGCATTCACAAGTATCCCTTATTAGTTGGCACTTTTGCTGCTGCAGCTGTGGGACATCATGAGTGTCAAGAGCCTTTCAAAATAGCTAAAATCTGACTAGATGGAGAACACTGAACTTGAGCTGAACTGTACGTGTTTGGGGTTTGGGCAATGCAATGGTGGTGAACACACCTCCACTTGCTCTGGGAGAAGAGAGATGAAGAATTAAATGGTAGCTGTAGAGCTGAACAATTTTATCAGAAAGTGAAACAGAAGGTACTGGATGCAGAAGGGGAAAATACTTTTCCCCCTTCCGTGAGTATTAGTACTGTGTTGAAACTGAGTCAGAAAAGGGTGAGAATAGAGCAGGGGCAGGTTACAGTATTTGGGAACTATTACAAAGCTGTGTTTGTGCTGTAGGTGGAACAGAACCATCGTGTGTATGGTTATAAATCCAGCAGCTTGTATCTGTCAGGCTACCACAGTGCTGACATGTAGATCTTGATAGGGTGGAAAAGGTGTCTTTCTACTTACCTTTTCCAAACTGGTTACCAACAATATCAAATGCCTGCAGCTGCATATTAACAAGGAGCAGCTGGAAGTTCTTCTCCAAGCCGAAGGTTTGCTTGCTGGCACATTTAAAAGAATTGCCCAGCTTTGTTGTAAACAGCTTCTCCTGTATGGCTGCATAGTAAAGCATGCCTGGAGGCCATAAAGAGAGAGACAAATGAGAATCCACACCAACTCTGTTGCAACCAAACCAACATCTTTCTGAGATAACATGGAGGATCCCGGGTGCTTTGGCAGACCAGCAGTCACAGATATGAATAAAGCGTGGACATTTTCCCCATAATGTATCAGTTACATTTCCATGTTTCAGTGAGTGCTTTAATTATCCACAGGCAACTCAGCTGAGCTCAGGTCTGGAAAAGCGGCTAAAATTTCAGATGCCTCTTCACATCATATTTTAGCAACCTGAGCCTGCAAGAAGGGGTTAGGATTCTCACAAGAGCAGACAACTGTTGTAGGTCTCCAGCACAGCTATTTCCAGATGAAACAGAGATACTATCTCTAGCATGGAAATTTGACATATCTACTCTGTTCTGTTTTATACATTAAATATGTTTTTAAAACATATTTCAGTCACAGTACTTTACAGACAATATAGCTCATGTTCAAAACATTAAGAGATTTTGTAACCTGGGCATATCCTTTATACATATCCTCCTCTGAAAGCAGATACACTACTAAGACAAAATCATCCACATCACCAGCTCTGCATCACTCTATCTCAACCACATCTGCCAGCACAATAGTACTCTTGGTTCTCTCCAGTCAAAAATCAATAATCTGTGTGAACTGATACAGTCAATTCAGTGATTACTATCTTAGAAAAAATATGGGCTTGCTCACTGCAAAAATACCACTGGTGGGCTGTGAAACAGCAACATCTGGCAGAAAGGCAGTGACAGCCAGGCATAGCAATGTCTCTTGCCAGCACCACTGTAGAGAACTCAAAGTATATTTTAAAACTTATGATTGAGCCAATTAGTTTGTATTTGCTGCAATTTGCAGTTAGCAATGCACAGGAAAACTGAGCCCATTTAGACTGGGAACATCCCTACAAGACACATCCCCTGAATCAGCTTTTCTTTAATTGCTGTCAACCAGAATAGGCTCTACTTGAGTTAACAGAAGTGAGAAGAAAAATAGGGCTGGTCGTGCTCCTGATTTGCTGTTCTTCTTTCAGGGACAAAAGTCAATCCAAATACTTATGGGTAACAAATGGAGAAGCAACATAATATAGCCATTAACCTGACAGAGATTTGATATATTGGGAAGAATTTGTGCAAAATTAATAATAAGTAAATTAATTAATCTGAAGTGATGGCTCAGAATTTTTCTCTCTAACCTAAATGATGCTCTCTTCACATTTCTTGGGAGGTAGCACCTGGGGCAGCTCCTGGCTGTTCAAAAGGTGGGAAGCTGGGCTATATAAGAAAAAGAAAATCCAATTGCTTGAGAAGAGCACAGACAAGGCCTAGGAATTCAGGATGGTTTAAAGAATTTCAGCCTGGTTCCAGCTCTAATTTTTGCCAAAGCAAATAGTTGGAAATGCCTCCTCTCCATATCGGTGTATTTGAAATCTGGATCCAGCTCTGCATTGATCCAGATCCTGCATACATTTAGTTGGCATATTAGCTTGTAAAGACATAGGCAACTAAACTGGAGTCACAGAATTTTTGTGTGCTTGCAAATAAAATCTTTGAGGATTGTTTTGTATCTCAAATTTAGGTTTGAGCTAATCTTTATTCTGAAAGAGATGGGACAGGAAAAGTTTTTGAGCATGAAGGGAAAATGGAACAATTCCAATGAAACTTCAGCCTGATTCCTTCCCTTACGTTTTTATACCATATGATTTAGGTGAATGACATGTTGAAACCCTGACAAAACACGTAATTTACAAAATCCAGTGTTTTAAAGCCTATCCCACACCCAGAACGGTTTGATATGAAATTAAGACAGAGTAAAATCACTGACCTTCAGAAGATTCCTGCAATCTGGTCTCAATTTTACTGACATAGTACATTGGAGCTTGCTACAAGAGAAGATATATCTGTATTTGTAATACATCCTCATATTTGTGGGGAAAAAAAAAGTATATTTCACCACAGCAAAATGGTCACAAAGAAGTTTCCAAAGAAACACATTGTAAAACATCACCTTCAAGCCCCAAGAACCAGCTAGCTTGGATGTATTGCTTTTTCGTTTCCCAGTCACTCCATCTACCAGATAAAAAGCTGCTGAAAAGCAGCAATCTCAGCTACATCACACAATCAAGCTCAGTTCAGTGAAACTGGACCATGCAGGTGTGATTTTGCACACACTGCTCAAGCTAGACATTTCTGTGATACCTGTGGTAACCAAAAGTAGGAGGGAGTCAGGCAAACAGCATACATGGCACAAATTAACAGGCATGTGATAAGGCCAATTTATTTTTCTTTATAGGTTCTGCTTTCACTGAGATTACCCATAGTGCTCCTCTGGGTAATACTGCACTGAGCTAATCCACACTGTTCTGCAGTCTGACTGTCTTCAGGCCTTAAGCCCACACCTCTAGAAGTACTTGGGACTCTTGGCACTTTATGCACAGGTGCCCTCAGTGTGAGCAAACTGCCCACGCAGCCCAGCTTTGGTGTTCATCGCTGCTTTGAACTGGGAGACAACAGCAACAAGCTGAGAGCCAAAAGCTCATCTCATGCTAGTTCCACTCATTTCCTATTTTGTCTGCCCACATCAGTTGCTACAAATGAGGAAACAGCAACTTGGATGGGTCTGTGTAGGTGAGAAATAACTGTTCTTTCCACCCTGCAGACACCATCAGTGCTGGCTGCCTTTATTTCATGTGCCTGCAGACAGCTGGCATGGAAAGCACCTGGTGCAATAACACAGAGCAGAATTTCCAGCTGACTGTCCTGCCCTAAAACCCTGGTACAACCTGAACACTGTCCTCCCCTGGACTGTCACAAAGTGAGAGCCAGCCCTAGGACCTTTTCCCCAGTAGCAGTGTTGGATTATAATGTGAGCCTTTATGTGGCATCCCTACTATTCATTTCTATTCCAGCCATGAGCACACAGGGACTGGGGAGTGCAGGTGGTGGATAAATGGCAGCAGGCAGGAATGTCTCCTGTGCGCCTCGTTTTAATGTTATAGAGTTTAAAAGCTGGTAGGATGGATTGGGAAAGTTTAAGAAAAAAATACATCAGAGAAGAGACTAATGAAGAAGCTTCCTAATGAAGACATACATAGGTCAAATATTACAAATTTTTGGCATCAGCATTATGTTCTGTTTGGCCACAGTAACTTTGCTTGGGGAAAACACCTGCTCCTACTTCACATCTTGTGGATGGGTTACAAAACTTCCTTTTTTCAGGTTCTTTGCAAAATGCAGCTGGTGGTGCTGAGACCCAAGCAAGCCACTCACCTCCTGCTGCCCCTGCAGCCCAGGGGCCTCATCTAGCTCCTCTTTCACAAGTGAAAATCAGAAGTGCCACCTCTGGAGCACTCCCAGTTCAAAGTGGTTAGAGAGGCTGTGAAGGCCAAGCACATAAAAAACCAACAGCAAAATAATTTATTATTAACTTGAGTCTCAAAGCCTAAGCCGAGCCCTGCTATGCTCTTGAGGCTTATCTTTTAAGTAAAGGGCAGACTCTCTAATGCTGTGCCAGTAACCACCTTTTTCAGGGCAAGACAAGTCAAGTATCTCCTAAAGGTTCACATCATTCTCCTTAGCACTGCTACAAGCTGGGGCTTTCATGGATACTTGAATCACCAGACTTTTTCTAAGGGTCCTTGTAACACAGAAAATGCTCCCCTTGTTGCAGGAAGCACACATTGAAAGCAAACACTCAAGGTCTGAACTGAGCCTTTGTTTTAAAACAGCTCCTTGATTTTTTTTACCTCACTTTCCTTTGAAGCTTTTAGAAAAATTTCGGCCACAAACTAAATATGATTATTAATTGAAATATTTTCTCTGCTCAAGCATTAATGATGCGGGTGTCACATAATTTGCTGTTACCTCTTGAAATTTCTATGGAAATAATTGATTAAACATTTGTACTTGTCACTAATTTGAGCTTTGAACGAGGCTGTAAGGTTGACATTTTGGCTTGATTAACTGAAGGACCCAGATCAGCAATGATGGCCAGATGCAGCTCAGCACTGCTATGGAGCTCCAGGACATGGCTTTAACGCATGTTACGCTCAGAGTCTGATGGGCTGCAGCCCATGCTGTATTCCTTCCTGCCCGTTAAGGACTTTACACACAGTATCCACTTCTGTCTCTAGCCCTGCTGGTATCACCACCCAGTTCCTATTTGCTTTCAGATAAATAGTACTGTGTGCTGCCTTCTAAAATGTGTAAACCATGTAAATGTTTGAGGAAGCAAGAAGACAGCTGCACTCAGTAAGTTTCTCCTGTGGATGGGACAGTAGCAACACTCTTGGTAGCTTTTGTTAAAGCCTCATCCATACAATGTTCAGGGGGATACAAGGGATCAACAGACAACAATGTCAAAAAGAAAACTCATTTTCCCACTGTGTAAGCAGGGCCTCTCTCTTGCCCAAGTTCCTGTGTGTACTTGTAAGTCATCCTGGTGTGGTACATTTTAAGGGCACTTATCTACCATTTGGTTGTTGAAGTTCACTTGTTTGGAATTTTCCACTCAGAAATCAGATGAAATTAGGCTGTTTCAGCTGTGGATCCTGGGCACTTAAACTGCACAGGCTGCCCTTTGGATTTAAGAACCACAGCAGGCTTTTGGCAGGGCAGTTGTGCTGCTTGGCATTTATGGGAAGCAAATGAGTAACCTCACCTGCATTCAAGTGGTCCCTGAGACACCATTTCTTAAGACCAACTTGATAGGGTGAGTCGGAGCTTTCAGCACACACACCTTGTTCCTACACAGGGACTCCAGTCTCAAGCTCACTCCCTCTATCCTGCTCCAATAAAAACAGCAGACCTGGCCTTCCCTCCCATGAAATTTTTACAGAGGTAAAAACAAGACATACTTTGCTTGAGACTGTTTCTAGACTTTGTGTTACTAGAGGAGCAGCTGTAACACTGTTCTCTAGCACTTTTCTCATAGGGTGGCCAGGCTCTGTGTTTCCCCTTCATTGCATACACAAACCTTTCCAATTTGAAAGGTCAAATAGACAAGAAGTGGTTTAATGTTGAAATCAGCCCTGCTCTGAGCAGGGGGTTGGACCAAGTGGCCTCCAAAGGTTTTTTCCAACCTGAATTAATTTGTGGTTCTATGATTTTAGCCTCTTCGGAAGGAGCAATAGTGCCTTATATACAGGTGAAAAACAAGCACGGCAGCCTAAGTTTCAGCTCCCCAGTCCTAAACACCTCATCCCTCTAAATGTAGAAATTACCTTTACAAAGGTGAAGTTTATAAACCCTCCACTGAAAGTTAAGTTCAGCTCAGCCTGCACCATCCCACAGCTGCCAGATGTCTCCGTCGCGTTGGGGTTGACAGCCATGTACTCCATCTGCTTCTGTGGAGAGAAGAGACATTTCAGGGCTGCTGCTGAGGAGGAGGAGGGAAATGTAATAAGAAACACACAGAAATTTATAACTGTTGTGGGGGTTTTTTTACCCCAGACAGGCTCTGTGTGGCTGAATGAACAGGCTGGGGGTCGTGGCAGCCTAACTGCTGTCTGCCAGGGTCATTCCCCACTCGTAAACCAGCACTGAAGCTTGTCTGACACATCACTGAGCTGTTCCAGTGTTTTAAGCTGGCAGAAAAGAATAGTTTTCTGTTCTTTTGGTGAACTGATATGATTCAGAGCAGGGTCAGATGAACACCAGCAGTAATTTAAAAGGGGGGAGCAGTGGGAACTCATGCCTGAAGGCAGAGGAAAGATCAGACAGAGGCAAGCAGGGGCTAGATTGGCTTTGATGCTCTTCACATCACCTGGGCCTCCTCATTATGTCCCCCCTGGTTCCTCTCTAGCATTTGCCAACTCATGTTGTAGTCTGAAAGGAGAGCTCTGCAGCTCTGAATACACAGTTTGGCCCCTTCAATCTTATCTCAAAAAAATCTCATTTTTTAAATAAACATCTCACTGTGGTCTGGTGAGTTTGGGGATAATACTCCCTGCCTGGCTTCCACCAGGACAAGGGATGAAAATTACTTTCACCAACATAAAATACTCATCCCATCTTAGAAAAATTCAGACTTTGGGCAAGAATATTTGGATTTGTAATGGAGAAGGCTCGAGGTGTATGAACTCCAGACCCCAAGTATGTAACCCTACATTTGTATTAATGGAGATTACAAAAGTTTAATTGAGGGACATAATCACCATTTCAGGTCTTAACTTCTTTTGCTGAATCATTCCCAGTGGATCGGTGCTAGGAGAAGGCACCAGCTCCCCAGCAGTTCCTGTGATCCTAAAATCTCCACATTAGCATCAAGACAACCCAGCCCTAAATCCAAGTCTGTGAACTGACCATTTTTTGCTTTCATTGCAATTTGCAATGTCAAGCCCTTCACTGAGGTCGATTCAGATTTTAACTAGTCTCCCATTATGGGAAACACAAATAACACTGAAGGCTGATCCACCCACAGTATGGCTACCAGACCTACATCACTGAGGTAAGAAAGCATCCAAACATCACCCTGACATCATCATACAAGGCAAGGTACAGCAGCTGAGATGCTGTAGCACAGAAAAAGCCTCAGACTGGTGGCAAACTGCTCCTTTTATCACACAAGCTAACTTTGGAAAATTGCTTTGAAAGAAGAAACTCTAGCTAATGAGGAAACAGTCCTCACACAGCTCAGCCTCCCAGTGCTTCCACCTCACCCTCTCTGCATTCTGAGCCATCAGCTGCAATCCCATGACTGCTTTGATGCAGGTTCTGTTCCCATTGGAAACGGTGTACGTGCCAGTGGGGATGGCAGAGGGCTGTGGTGCAAGGGTGGGTCTCACTGTCGTGGGAGTAGATGCAGTGGTTGTTTGTATGGCTGGATGAATGGTTGCTGGCTTGCTGGTCATGGCTGTGGCTGTTGGACTTCTGGGCACTGCTGTTTGATTTCCTGCAGTGGGCTTCACAGTTTGCATGGTGATGGCTGCAGTAGTTCTGGCAGCAGCTGTCATTTGTGTATTTGGTGTTGTGTTGGTGGCTGCCCCTGTCATTTCTGTGCTCACGTGTGTTCTAGATTGCTTGGTTGAGGACACAGGGTGTACAGTTGTGTTCTTCACTGCAGGTGTAACCACTTCCATTGCCTGGGTTGTAGCCTGATCAGCTGCAGTTGCATTGTCTGCTGATTGTGTAGATACCACCATGGGAGATTTCTGGCTGGTGACTTGTGTGGCGGTTGCTCCAACCTGGGCTGTCGTGTGATGACTTGGTGCTGTTGTTGCCTGTTGCTGGTCTGTTGTCTGTGCAGTTGTTCTAGGCCTTACAGGTGCTGTTTTAAGTGAGTCTGTGCTATTAAAATGAACTGTGGTGCCTTGATGGGGTGAAGAATGATAAAGGGAAAGTGGCTGAGCAGAAGTAGCAGTATGGTGCAAGGATATGGTTTCTGGAGAGAGTTCAGCCTCCAGAGCCACTTCAGCAAAACAGGGGGAAAATGCTGCAAAGAAAAAAGTAAGTCAGTGGTCAAGAAACCTTTACCTTTAACATGTCTGTTAATACCCACAATATAACTGCACTGATTTTGTTATCAAATGGGTGATACAATTTTATTCTTCATTTGCATCCAGTAAGGGTAGGGGAGTGAAAGCAGACATGCTGTAGGACTATCCATAATATTTCACCACTGCCCCCCAGTCCTCACACTTCTGAATATACCCATTGCACACTGGCTCCCAGCTCCCCACACTCTGCTTTTACTGCTGAAGAAGCCAGAGGATGCTGGAGGTGTGAGCAGACCTTGCACAATCTGCAGGCAGCACAAGACCTCCCTTGGAGGCAGTAATACTGCAAGTTTTGCTAAAAGCAAATTATCAGGGTTTAAGGAAGGTGCAGTGGGTCTAACAGGAGAACTGGTGGTTGGTTACTTACCAAGAAAGCATAGGGAAAGGGAACATTTTGTGTGTGTGAAGGAAGTGAGGTAGAGTAATGGTCTTATAGTGATTCACAAGGGTCTGGGAAACCAGTTTGGGAAACCAGTTAGGGAGACTGGGAAATTCCAGATATTTATTCATAGTTTTGTTGTAAACATGCCATCTTGATCCCTCAAGTTCTTCCTCCTAGGAAGTACCCAAGGGTGTGCTCCAAACCAGATCAGCCCTCTTAGTGATGGGCTTTCAGCAATGAGAAGCAAATTTCAGGGTACAGCATCCAGGGGCATTTAGGATCACATCTAAAAATAACCAAGCACCAAAATTATGCTTCCACCTTATAATATTTACAGAAAGACATTCCTTACAGAACTGAAAAGAAAATATCTGTCTCTTAAATATAAATAGCAGGAGAAAAGTGTAAATAACAAAGTGAAGGAAAATTACGTTGTAGAATTGCTGAAGCTCAGAACTCTTCTGCTTGAGTCCTTGATTGTGAGTGTGCAACCAGGCTCTGTAAAGACAAGGTCAAGCTAAAAGGAATCACACATCCCTGATGTATATGTATTCCTTCATGTGCATGAAGCTTCAGGTGTTTTACTATCTAAATTAGCTGGAGGACAGAGATGATTTCTCCAGTTTGGAGGCAGAAGGGCCCAAACAATTCCAAGACGGCTCCCATTCCTAGCAGTACAGCTGCACAGAGGATGCCACAACACGTTGTCTGTGAATTTTATTGCACACTGGTCTTTCCAAAGACATTTCTCATTAATCAGTGTCAAAGATTTGTGGCAGGCAGGTTGCTGAGATTTGGGTTTTAGGATCAGTTAAGGCCCATTCAGAGGAATGGCTGAAATCTCAGTCTTCCTTTCGTGCATTTATTTTCACTCGGCACAAACACAGATCTGCAACAATAGCTGACTTCACAAAATCTCACCATCTTAGGATACATTTAGACGGCATCAGAATAATAAAAACTACCAGGGTTTGAATCAAATTCAAGATCAAAACCAAAGAAATGAGAACAGGTGGATAGATGGGAGCCCACACTTCATTTTTCTTCTTAAAATAGCTATGCTAGAGAACAGCAGAAGTAGTGCTGTAGCTCCATATTCCTAAAATTATTCAGGTCTCACCTCTGTGCTGTACAGAACATATTTGACTATTTGATACAATTGAAAAGCCACAAAAATTACAGGACAGATACCTCTGATTATTAATTTTATCAGAAGAAACATAAAAATGCCATAATTCAGTTAGTTTTCTGTTTTTCCCCTAGTCTTTACCACTCCTGCTGCCAGAGCAGATAACTTCTTCTCTGTGTGCCAGTGGAAAATCCCAGCAGTTGCCATATCCCAGCTAGAGGTAGCTGCATCTACATGTATTGGCACGATAAAAACAACAAAGAAATTACAATTTTTACTCTTTTTTTCTCCTAGAAGATTGCAAAGCAGCCCATATTTAAATTTACACCGGTATTTAATAGTCAATACTTCTTAGTTTTTAGTTACTAGATTGATTTCAATGACTGTCCAAGTACCATTTAACCTACAGACATGGAGAGAAAAAAGATTTCACTATCATCTGGATGCCACTCACAGCTTTTAAATGAAACTTCATCTTCTCCATGAGGTCATTTCAACCTAACTGGTTTTCTCTAGAGGGACGTTCATCCTCACAGGGTCACTGAGCAGTAACACCAAAAATGTCTTTAGGGTGGCCCATGGCTCATGCTCAGCATGTGACCTCCCAGACAGCTCCTCCAGCCTCCTGCAGCTCTCCCCAGCATTTTGGAGCCTCTCTTGGGGCATGGCCATGTTGCTAGACCTGGCTTGGGTTGTCTTCTCAAAAGGCATTTCCCCCTGAGCTCCCAGGGATGACTAAGGATTGCTCTCTGGTTGCACCTAATGGTCCTGGCTCTTCTTGGGTGGCTCTTGGAGGTAGTTCAGTAGCTCTGCTGTGCAAAGGAGCAGGAGGGACCATGGGGTGCCTGACCTACCCTCCAACTAAGGCCTGGAAGGCTTCACCATGGCTCTCTCTGTGTTGCAGCATTGCCTCTCAGGGAGCCCCCTGCATGGCTGCCCCACCACAGCCCTGCCACGGCTCTGCCAGCAAAAGGGGCCACAGAGTCACAACAAATTGAAGCTCTCCATCCCCCAACAGTCTCCTTTTTATTTTATCTTTAATATGAGGCCATCTCAAAACTTAATACAACCAACATTTTGCTCGAGGGACATATGCTCCTGGAGCAAACAGCTACAGTCCCTTTGTTTCACCTCAGCTTCAAAGTTGTGCATTACAAGTGCCAAGGGCTGCCCAGCAAGCTGCTTGCATGCAAAGCTTCCAAACAAAACTCTCAGAGAAGGCTCAGGGCAGCTCTCAGAAATTTGCTGTCCCCAGTCTAGAGCTCCTGTTTTCATGCTTTGATGACAGGTTTCAGTCAATGCCAGCAAAGGAAGGTGACTGCTCTGCTCCCAGGCGTTACAGTGGGGAGTGGAGCTCTCAGGGCTCTGATCTGACTGTGACATTTCTCAGCCTTCCATCCTGTAATGGGGTGGGTGAGAAAAACTCTTATTTTGTTCTCCTCATCTAACCACACACCCAAGCTGCTCAGCCACCCAACAGGTTTGTTCTGCTTTATGCTGCCCAGAAGAAATGCTCATGTATAACTGACTGATCCTGACAAAAACCTGACCCAGCTCCTGCAATCACTGAAAATATTCTTGCTGGCTCTGGCTGCTTTGATTTGAGTCCTTGAGAAACCAGGAAAACATTGAGATTTGCCTCCACCATAGGAGCAGTTTCTTAAACCTCCAACTTAGCCGACCTTTATCCCTTAATCTTGTTATATTTAATTCCCTCTCTGCACAGAAAGGCTTCACTTCATGGCATTAATAAAACATCACAACAAATTATTCAAGGAATGATCAAAAATGGATAAGGAGCTGAGGAAACAAGTTACTTCTGGTCAAAAGGATCCACAGGATTCTGATCAAAAGGATGTTGACCACTAAGTTACTAGTGTTACTTCTCTCAGTCTGATCTTGCTCTCCTTTCACAAACAAGTTTTGCGGCTGCTTGAGCAGACTCTGGCTATGGAGCAGGTGTGGGAAACTGAAGCAGGTGTGGGAAACTGGAGCAGACACAGCAGGAGCTGTATCTGATGGTCGAGTCTCTGGGGTTCTCCTGCTTACTGTGTGGGGAGGGAGACAGGGGGTTGTTATTTGTGAGATCCCTGTGCACTGATGGCAAAACACACCCCAGAAATCCAGCCCCTGCAGCACTTACACAGATTTTCACCATTGCACTAAGTCACACTCTGTCCCTCTTCACCTGGCAGATTTTGTACTGCTGCAGATGTTGGGGGACGACTTCACATGCTAGAACATGTCCTCAACCAGGCTGGCTCCACAGATTTTCACAGAGCAGCATTAAGGATTGAATGGTGACTTGGATGTGGTTTGCCACTGAGATAAGCCCCAGCCTGTCTTCTACAAGCCCCCACCTCACTCTTACTTTTCTGATCATGCTCTACATTTTGTGATACAGACAAAAATGACCTGAGCAACAATTCCTTAGTATTTTCTTTTGTTTGTCTCACTCAAGACTTACAGTCAGTTCTGCTTGTCTGGAAATTATTTTTAATCAAGAAAAGCAAGCCCCGAGAAGTCTGCTTCTGATACTGTTTTCAACTGACTCCATCAGACAGAGTTTATGTCACCACAGAGTGCAAGGGAAAATAGGAAACATCAGACTGAAGTTACACCAGCTGCAATTAAACGTAGTTATTATTATTTAATAATAGTGGGACTTTACTAAAAGCAGCCTTACTGCTAGCAACAAAACCATTTAAAGTTTTCAGTCTGTTAGGCAATGTCCTGACTTCAAGGAAACAAAACTAGTACAGTTTATATCTCATTTTTCTGCTAGAAATGATGGAGGATGTTACTCACCACAGGCAAGGGTGAGCAAGATGAGGTGCTGTGTGCTCCTCCCCATGGCCAGCACGGCTGCACGTTTGGGTGATGCTGCTTCTCACTGTGGAGCGGGTGGAAAGAAAATCAGGGTTTCCTGGGTTCTGCAAAGTTTCACTTGATGCAGGGAGTGCTCAGTCACATGGCTGGAAAGGAGGTGGAGAGAGGGGGGGAACCGGTGCTTCTTGTCTGTGAACTATGACAGAGGGAAATAAATTATGATTAAGAAAGAAAGTGAAAACAGACTGGTCTAACTGGGGGGAGGACAGGCTCTCACTCTGCAGCTGAGACCTGGGGCTCTGCAAGGTCCACAAAAAGCTTCATGCGTCTCTCCAGGTCTGATCACCTGATGCAGACTCAGCTGTACCCCGGTGCAGGGTTACAACTGTAAATCAGTACTTCCCCTTTGTTCTTTAAAAAAAAAGTATTTCCTTCAGGAACAAACTCTTTCTTTTATGTTAAGGCACAGAAGGGAGAGTAGTGATTGAGCCATCTCTGCTAAAAGCAAGATGGGGCTGAGCAAAAGGCCCTGAACAGGCTCTGGTCCCAGCAAGGGACTGTCAGCAGCCTTTGCTGGCTGGGTCAGTCCTGCTCCAGGGACAGCAGGGTTTGTTGAAGGTGGATCATTCGGTGTCACTCACCATTAGCGTTGCATCCAAATATACTCCTCTGCAAATTGGAAGGCCCTGCCATGGCCCCTGAAGTGCCTCCTGCAAACCACACCAAGCTGGGCAGGAGCTGCACAGGCAGGTCCCAGCGTGCAGAGCCACGCACCAGAGACCTGCAACAGGAGAGTGTTACACCTGCTCACACCTGTGGCTGCATTCCCAGCCCCAGGCCTTCACTGTGGGGCCTGCTTGGTGGGGGGAACAAACCAACACCCCCCCTGGGATCTGGTGTGGTCCTAATTCTTCATTTTCTCACACCAATATTGCACTACAGTAACATTATAAGGCCAATGTCTTGAAAACTTCAGTGAGGTGAAGTTTGCCTCCACAAATCTGGATACTGGCTGAAACTAGTTCCAATTTATTTTGCTGTCTCTATTTGCATCGTGCTCCTACATTCTCATTTTTAGCTGTTTGTCCTTCTAAATGATCCACAGTATGGATTTGGGTCAATTATCACTCCCTAACCAACCACTGGTAGCCAAAGGTATGCAGGTATCTCGGGGGTAACTATAATGAAGTTATCCTACAACTTCCTTGCCTTATGGCTGCAGTATCTGCATACACAACTCTGAGCTGTCTGTGTGAACCTTTGCACTTTCCTAAGAGTCCCAGGAATTCAGGAACATGACTGAGGAAGAAGGGTAAAGGAAAAAAACCCATCATGCCTTTTGTGACACAGATGTTGGACAAGTAAAGTAATATTGGACGGGAGTTGGATTTCTTTCAGCTGTGATGCTGTGTCTTTACTGATACTCATTTATTTTTAATAGAAAGAAGGCTCATTTGACTTGTAACTTCATATAGAAACATCAGCCACAATGTTTTGTACTAGTTATAATTTTTATAAATTTCAAAGTGTGGTTCTACACAGGTCAGAATGGCCTAATTACAGGAAGTTGGAGTTCATTTGCACACTTTTTTTTCTTGTAATAAATTCATACATTCTGTCTTGACTGGAAAAAGAGGACAGGTAATTCTGTGCTCTTTCCCCGTCTGATTATCTCTCATCAGTCACAATATACAAATACATCATTATCAACACCATGGAAAATATGTAAGAAAAACAAACTGTACCAATTCTCAGCTGGGGAGAAGAAATCTTAGCAGCTATTTCAGCTCCAGCTGCAAGAAGAAATACACAATTTGGCTCTTCTTTCTTCTTATCCTTATATATTTCTACTCATAGATATATTTGATGTCAGGCTTTGGGTATTTTTGGAAAGGGAGAGCATGGCCTTTCTCATACCCAATCCTGTTTGAAATCTCAAGATTCTAAGAAAACAATGGATAATAAAATGGCTTTTCATCACATACACAACCAGAATATAAGACACACACACAGCTTTGTTGTCACTGACAAGAGAAGTCAGTGTGCTGACATGGTTTGGCCGCAGCCATTTATGATCAAGACAACAACCATTGGTCTGATTCTCCACCTAGTGGGGTTCAACGTGAGAGAAGGAGATCAGGCCTGTTTACATTTTAGCCTGGTTTGCTAAAAGCAAGACCTGTGTGTGATGGCAGCTGCCTGTCTCTGTTTGTCATTACCGCCAGTGAGGAAGGAGCCCAGCAATACCCAAGGGCAAAGTTTTGAGGATGTCAAGTTCCTGGAAGTTTCAGAGATGATGGCAGCAGAGCAGAGGGAGGAGATCTCAGTCAAAAGCTCAGCCCAGAGGGCAGGTCTCACCAGTTCAGACCCACAGAGAGCAGCCAAGCAGCTGGCACAGACTCACTGCCCAGCAGCAAGGACACAAAGCTCAACCACAGGTGCTGCTACAACGTAGATTTACCTTGGACTTTATCTCTCCTACAACTGAAACTTAATGGCAACCATTACTTTTAAATTACTTTCTGATCACTACATCATCTCCAAACAACACTAAAATTAAATCCATATTTGAAAACTATGATTTTTAGGCCCATCTACCTGAAAATTATGGTATCAAGGACGTACATACAGAGTAAGTATACCTTAGTGTACACATTAGTCTTGCTGGACATCACCAAATCATATTCTAGACTGTACATGGAGAGTCATTCCTTAATTATCACCTTGCTTGACAAAATTGTACTAATTAAAAGACTACCTTGTCTATTATTTGGGGAAAAAAAACCAACAAACCATCAAACCCCATTTTGTCTTGTCAGCAAAGCCAGAAGGTTACTTCTCCTTGGCTGCTGTCAGACTCGTCACCAGCCTGATCTTTCATCAAACTTCATTCCTTCAAACAGCAAACTTTATCCTTTTAAACAGCAAACAGACTTTTAAATACTGCCTCACTGGCATTTACACCACAGGCATCAGCCAGGAGAAGGGCCTAGCAGCAGCTGCAGTGGTTGCAGTTTGGTCTGAGTTTGGAACGTGGAGATGGAAACAGGCAGCTGCCTCTGGCTTGCCAGCACTGCAGGAAGGTAAAAGACACAGTGAGTGTTTGTGGGCTCAGTGCTCAGGTTCA